ACATCTACCCTCTGGTTCAGCTTTGTTTCTACGTGTAACTCCTAGTGCTGGCACCAAGCATGGACCACTCCATGGGCTCCAGGGGATGGTCAGTGCAGTGGCTGGGGGCCGCTGCTGGCAGCTGTCATGAGGAGGGTGGAAAGATGGGGTGGAAGTCACAGGTTTGGCCCTAAAACCGTGCTGAAAAACAAAATAATGAATTCTGTCTGTATTAGGTGTGTTACCCTCTCAGAGTCAGCTCCATCCAGATGATCTTTCTGCGTCTTATTTTCTTATTCTCAAATTGAGTGCAGACTGTACAGCCTCCCTGATGCAAATTTCCACTCCAGCCTACAGAAGCTTGGCAGAGGAGCCAAGCATTTACAGGGATGCTTGCTGCAGCCAAGAGCCTAAAATTAGACTTTTAATGCCATAGCCAGCACCCAAGAGGTGACCTGATTTTCAGAAGTGGGGGGAAATTTCAAAGCCTGGTCCATGTATGGCTTGATACTCCGTGGAAGCAGCTGAGTCTGCAGCAGCTCTGAATCAGCTGCTTAAACCTTGGGCGGGCCTGCAACATGGAAAGACACCACACATGTAAAACCCAATTGCCCTCTCATTAGGAGACTTACTTGCAGAGGTGTTTCATCTGTGACAAATTTATTCGCCCACCTTGCCTCCTTCAAGCTTTTCTCACTTGCAAAAATGTCTGATCATCCCTTTCAACTTCTGCAGTTGAGCAACTTTGCACATGCATTTATTCAGCTGATGCGATAACCGCATAATGTATTTGCAAACATCAGCTCACGGGCACAGGAATTTGCCAGGCTCTGGGGTTTATTTAAAAGCATAAATATATTTCATGGTTTTAAAATGAACCAAAGAAATAGCTTCCTTCCCAGCCAGCAGCAGCAATGCTGCTGGGTCTACACAAGGCCAGCCAGCTTCAGCAAGACAGTGACACATAAACCCCTTTTTTATAACAAAACCTTTGAGTGTATCAACCCCTTTGCACACGCTGCACCTTGGGGCCTGTGTGTGTTTTTGACCAAGGTCGTCAAATGAATTATATCCTCATTGCAGGGTTTGTTAGAAAGGTCTTTGAAAGCAGATGGGATTGTGAAACACTCTTTTGCTACACCTAATGCATTGCAAATAACAGTGAAAAAGCTGACAGCAGGCTGGAATGCTGAGAAAATAGCTTTGATAAACTAAAGTGTTTAAAATAAACTTTAATGTTATTGATTTTAACCCATGTCTGGAAGCTGAAGCAAGAAGAATTCTTTCTAGAGTAAATGAGTTCAGTTTCAAGTCTTTGTAGAATTGAAAAAAACAACAACACAGAGCAAGAATTAATCTGTGAAAAATTAGAGGTGTGTGAGCCATCTCAGAAGAAAATAAACACAGGCTGAGCATCCCTTAAAACTTCCTCTAGTTTTATTATTTTCTTTCACAGAGGAATATGAGCATCCCAGCTAGCACCATGTGCCCCAGCTTGTTGGATGGAGGCTGCAGACAGCTGAAGCACACCGTCCCTGGCAGTGCTGTCCTTTGGGCATGGAAGAGCTCACGTAACGCCTGTGCCAGGCAGCACCAAAGGGCCATCACCTGTGCTGGAGCTGAGCCGGGACCCTTCCAGGCAACATGTTTTATGAAGACATCTCATTTGATTTCCATTACAAAGCCACCTCCATCTCTTTGGTAGCTCCTGTATTGATTGCCACATGGAGACGGTGTCCCATGGTTCAGTCTCTGAAACTGACCTGACACAAGCATGTCCACCATCAGGCAAAGGCAGTGGAGAAGGGGTGGACCCTGTGATTGCATCAAATTATTTATTAAAACTGTGAAACAAGAAATCATCACTTGCTGGAGCAAAGCCCGCAGAAAGCTGCTAAGTCTCTGGCGCCCATCTCATCCCAAGCTTGGGGACATGGGGGTTGTCTTTGCACCACTACAAACTGGGAAAAACAACAGTGACAATCTCCTACATGTGAATGTCCCCAGAGCCACCAAAATATACAGAATCATAGAATATCTCAAGTTGGAAGGGACCCATAAGCATCATCGAGTCCAACTCCCTCCCCCTCGCAGGACTACCTAAAATTAAATCATATGACTAAGAGCATCATCCAGACGCACCTTGAACTCTGACAGGCTTGGTGCTTTGAACACTTCCTTGGAGACCCTGTTCCAGTTATCAAGCACTCTGTCAGTAAAGAACCTTTTCCTAATGTCCAGTCTGAACTTCTGCTGATGCAGCTTCATTCCATTCCTCTTGTCCTATTGCTGGTCACCAGAGAGATGAGATCAGCCCCCTCTCTCTCTTGCCCCTCTTGAGGAAGCTGTAGACTGCAATGAGGTCCCTCCTCAGTCTTCTTTTCTCCAAGCTGAAGAAACCAAGTGACCTCAGCTGCTCCTCCTCAGTCTTACCCTCAAGACCTTTCACCATCTTGGTTGATCTCCTCTGACACACTCTAATAGTTTGAAGTCCTTCTTATACTGAGGCACCAAAAACTGCACACAGGACTTGAACTGGGACTGCACCAGTGTAAGTTTCAAGTGGGACAATCACCTCCCTTGACCAGCTAGCTATGCTGTGCATGATGCACCTCAGGGTACGGTTGGCCCTTTGGGCTGTCAGGGTACACTGTTGACTCATATTCAACTTGCCATCGATACGCAGGGCTGCTCTCCAGCCTCTTGTCCCCCAATTTGTACTTATTACCAGAATTACCCAATCCCAGGTGCAGAATCTGCCACTAGTTAAATTTCATAGTGCTGGTGATAGCTCAGCTTTCTAGCCTATCCAGATATTGCTTTAAGGCCTCTCTACCCTTGAAAGAGTCACCAGCTCCTCCTAGTTTAATATCATCAGCAAATTTATCAAATTTATATTTGATTCCTGCATCCAGATCATTTATAGGAACATTAAAGAAAACCAGCTCTAAAATTGGGACCTGGGGAACCTCACTGATGACTGATGTCAGTATAACTCTTTGACACTGACCTGTCAACACATTATGTTTGCAGATGGCCTCAATGATCTTAAGATCTTCACCAAACTAAATGATTCCATGATTCTTGGATTTATCGATAAGATTGTCTTGTGTGCAGTCAGGGTTGGATCAGACAATCCTTGTGGGTCCCTTCCAATTCAGGACAACCCATGATCCTGATATTGACATTGCCAGGCAGATGATAATAATAATAAAAAAAAAGAGCGATGAATGCTTCTGTGAAGAAAATTACGTCCAGACGAGCCTTAAAGAGTACACCAGTGCAGCTACTATTTGCTGAGCTAGGGAGGCACAAAAGGGACCAAGCGATAAGCACCGCTGATGGGCCTCCGTGTGTTCAGTGGGGTCCAGGTGGAGCATCTGCCCGTCCCAGACACTCCCTATGGAGTTGGTACCACAGACCAGAACGCACGGGACAGAGAAGCCCATGCTGTCACGGCAGTGGGAGTTGCCCACTGGGAAATCTCCACCCGCACCCCCCCACCACCCCTGGGAAATGTCTCTTGAGAAGCAACGTCCTCTCGCAGTGGCACAGCCGGAACAGAGATCCTGCCTGGGACAGGCCCCGTCCCACCACCAGGATATACACCACCACCCACCCATCGGTCTCATGAAGGCACCAAGAGCACACCACGACCACAAGCTCACAGGCCAGCACCAAGGGAGCCGCTTCCATCTCAAGGCATGGGATCTCCAGGAGCAAGCAAAGCATCCACGGGTCACGTCACCCCCGTTTGAGGTTTGGTAAGGCTTTGGGGGGCTTCTGTCGGCTTTGTAAAGGGAGTCCCTGGGAGCCCTGTCCGGCAAGGCTGGGGCTGTGCTTTGTGGGTGTCGGGGGTTTGGTTGTCCGGGGCG